GTTCCTGTGCGTTCCTGCCCAAAAATAGCCCTGCCAAAGGACATACCGGATCTGTAGCAGAAGCGAGACATCTCTGGATCAGAGCTTCGAATGTGGTCTTCAGGATAAGGTGTTCGTCAGGAATTGGCTTTTTTGTTATCTTTTCTGTCGGCAACGACTGCACTTGCTTAAGAAACAGAGAAAGTCACTGTGGACGTCACTATGGGTTCACCTCCCTCCCCCATTCCTTTCTACTAAAAAGAAATCACAGCGTTTTCCCTCAGGACTGGCCCTGAGGTAGTTTGTTCCCCGGTCTCTGATGTCCATTGTGGGCAACTGTTCAGTAAGAGCATGCCAGCATATACCGCCCACCCAATTACTTCCCTGAACATCAGAAGAGCCCTGCTGGATCAGACCAGTGGCTTAGCGCCTCTGAATGTGGAGGTTCCCCTCAGTCAGCACGGCTAGTAGCCACGGATAGACTTGTCCTCCATGAATCTCTCTAATCCCCTTTTAAAGCGGTTTATTCCTGTGGCCATCACTACAGCCTCTGGCATAATAAGCACAGTACAGAGTCAAGGCAAGCTCTCAGACTACCATTTGCAAATTGGTCCCCGAGGCCCCAATACAGACTTTGATGTGGTACGACAGGGGACAGCTGCTTTTGGCTAACCATGATTAGCAGCAACGATTGTGCTTCAACCTATCTCAGTCATTTGAAAGGCTCCTGGGGATATGTTACTTTCAGAAACTTGAACGTGCGATTCAAACACAAAAGAAGAGGAAGAGGAGGAGGAAGAGGAGATTGGATTTATACCCCGCCCTTCACTACCCAGAGGAGTCTCAGAGCGGCTAGAAGAAGAAGAAGAAGAGAAGAAGAGATTGGATTTATACCCCGCCCTTCACTACCCAAAGGAGTCTCAGAGCGGCTTACAAACTCCTTCCTCTCCCCGCCCCACAACAGACACCTTGCGAGGTAGGCAGGGCTGAGAGAGCTCTGACAGAAACTGCTCCAGAACTATGGCTTACCCAAAGTCATCCAGCAGGTGCAAGTGGAGGAGTGGGGCATCAAACCCGGTCCCCCCAGATTAGAGTCCGCGCACTTAACCACTACACCAAACAGAGCTGATGGCATCGCTTCTCGTACTGACCTGCATGGCGTTGCCAATCGGAGCTCCTGGGGCTCCCTCCATACTAGCTGTCGATGCGGCAGGAGGCAGGAGAGGCTGGCCACCGGGCTGCGAAACGTTCTGGAAGGGGCTGTGTAAACCCAGCTGGCCTGGAGACAGATGCGTGGGCTGGAACGGAGCTTGGGCCGGCGGCATGGCCGAAGCCGGGGGCTGCTGCAGCTGGCCTTGAGGGTCTGCCAGAGGGTTCATGATCGGGGAGGTGATCGGAACGGGAGGCATGAAGTTGTCGGGGATCTAAGGAGAGAGACCGACAAACAGGGGAACCGTCTCACCGTGTGAGGAGTGTCAGAACTATCTGCAGGCGTCAATCTACAAACGGGGAAAATCCACAGCTGCCTGTACACGTGGCCTTCTCTGTTGTGGCCCCCCACCTTGTGGAATGGCCTGCTTGAGGAGGTCAGGAAGGCTGCCATTCTCTGGGCTTTGCACGAACTTTGCAGAACTGCACTGTACTAGATGATTCACAAAGTTGCTTAGATAAATTACTAGGGACAGTGGTCTACAGCAGTGATGGCGAACCTTTTCGAGACCGAGTGCCCAAACTGCGACCCAAAACCCACTTATTTATCGCAAAGTGCGAACACGGCAATTTAACCTGAATACTGAGGTTTTACTTTAGAAAAAACAACCCATACATTAACTTAAGATGATCCAAACAAAGTAAGGAAAGCAATCCCAAATGCTTTCATTTACTTAAAATTATTTGGCAGAGAATTCGACACTATAATGATGGTCTGGGCCTGGCTGGGGCAATGGCACGCGTGCCCACAGAGAGGGCTCTGAGGGCCGCCTCTGGCACCCATGCCATAGGTTCGCCACCACTGGTCTACAGTATCGTGTTGGGCTTACTGAAACTAGTACCCTACTGTGTAACTTCCGCATTACTGAATCTGTCATATTAATATTTATGCTTTGCTTCAGTTCTCAGTTCCGGAGAAGGCATGTGGATATAGAAAGCAGGAAGCAATTTTTCTATACAGGTTGGTTCTACAGTCCTAATCCCATCGTACTGTTTATCGAATGCCTCATCCTGTCAATTGCATTAGCTTACTCTTATGTCATTTGCCTTGAGTGCAAATGAAGAACGTGGACTCCAAATGACGTCAGTAAAATAAAATTAAACGATACAGGGGGGGGGGATCATCGTATTACTATATTTGAAGCTGTTCTCCAGTGCCATTTTTCCTTCTTCTGAATAATTACCTGGCTTTTAAACTACTGAACTCAATAATCTTAAAACATATTTGAATGCTTTCGAGGTTTTTTAAAAGAAGCCTAGGAGGACTTGTAATGCAGCAAAAGCTAACACGATCCTAGAAGTCACAGCCATCCTTTTTAGGGTTTTTTAAAAAGATCTTGTACTAGAACATACACGCCAGAGCCAAAAGAACGTCAAAGAACGAAACATTCCCTTCCATCTCGGTCCCGTTGCTCAAATTCGCTTTGCCGATCGATCAGCCTTGAGTCTCCTGATTAAAATCAATGAAGGCTTGCAGCTGTAATATTTCTGAATTAGTTTGCCACCGCAAGAAGCATAACGAGGAATAATGAGTCGAGGCAAGGCTGAGCAAAGATCCTGTTCTGGTGCTTTCGTGCAGACAGCACAGGCCATCCCCTCCCAGGAAGACCAGCACCTTTTTTCTATGAGACATTCTCAGGTTGCTCTGTGAGCAACATCCCAAGTGCAAGAAGCTTACGGCAGGAGCTGTAGCCCTGCGTGAACCGATATGCACATATATCGACGTAATATGGGATCTCTGAGGTGGAGCCCACCACATACATGCTCAGGGAGCAAGGTCATGCATGACTCTAACAGCAGCTCTTCAGCAATTCAGGCAGAAGTTTTGTTTAACGGGATGCTTTTTAATCTGCACAGCCCAACGGATCTCCAGCGTCCAAGGAGAAGCCCTGCAGGGCAAGGGCTTCCGCTGGCTCCACCCACTTTCTAAAAGGAGGAGGAGGAGATTGGATTTATACCCCGTCCTTCACTACCCAGAGGAGTCTCAGAGCGGCTTACAAACTCCTTTCCCTTCCCCTCCCCACAACAGACACCCTGTGAGGTAGGTGGGGCTGAGAGAGCTCTGACAAAAACTGCTCTTTTTCAAGATCAGCTGTGCCAGAACTATGGCTTGCCCAAGGTCATCCAGTAGGTGTAAATGGAGGAGGGGGGAATCAAACCCGATTCTCCCAGATTAGAGTCCGCGCACTTAACCACTACACCAAACTGGCACCAAACACATTGGGGGCTATCAGGAAAGGTATCAACAGGTTCTGCTAGCTCAGTTCCCACAGGAGAGGCTTCTACCAGCAGAGGGGTTTGAAAACTGGATCAATATCCTCCACAGTTCTGCAGCATCATTACCAGCCTGCACATTTTCTAATACTTCTCCCCTAACACAGAGGACTATGAATGTGTTCCACTTTTAAGTTGATGGCTGACGCAAACAGATCCAATCCTGGACTTCCTGCTGCGAAATGTGTTGTCCAAAACCTAGGTCTTTGCTTCACAGCAGCAACCTGATTCATGCTGGTTTACTGTCTAGTACTACACGCTGAAATAATTATGGTTTGTTCATAAGCATGAATGCTATCTAGCAAAAACTCTACAACAGTCCTTGAAATAAATGAATTAGTAGAATAATAAAGCTGATACTGAACAATCATTTTTTTTACTCCTTCCACATGTTACTTCCATGTGGTTTAGCTAGGCACACAGCTTATCCACGCGCCCCCCTTCCCAACAGCACCTTTTTTTTCTTTGCAACTCTGTTCAAAGCAGGTGGGTCATTCCAGCCATTCTGAGGTCCTGCAACAACAAAATTAAAGAGAGGAAATTGCCACATTCCGTCTGCAAGTCATCTCTTTGTCAAATGCTAGAGATTTCCTCTGGGGAGCATGTTTTGTATTTCATACATCACAGCAAACAGTGAAAATCCCCCCCCCACACACACCCCTTCTTTCACCCCCTGGCTTATTCTCTCCCCACCCCCACAAGGGGAGCCTAAGTGAATGTAGCTTTATTTGTGCTTTCTTCTAATTGCCTCTCCCCTTCCCTCCTCCTTCGGTTGAAATGTAGATTGAAACCTCTTTCGGACATGGCCCCACCACCTTATTTTTGTTACTCTGCATTCAGGTACACTGATGGCGCAGTATGAGTAATGCTGAATGGTTTTTTAATCATTTTAAAGCTGTGTTTCATGCCAAATTGGCACTGGCTTGTAAGAGCACATTAATATGCATTATGTAGAAACAAGCATAATATGAAAAATGTGTGCTGTCAACTGAAATTTCGGAACTGAGGCGATCCAAATGCTTAATGCAACAGGCGGCATCTTAGAGCAGGGGTCCCCAATCCTTCAGCCTGCAGGCACCTTTGGAATTTTGACACAGCGCGGTAAGCGCAGGCACAAAATGGCTACTGCCGGAGGCGGAGCCATCCACAAAATGGCTTCTGCCGCTTACTTTCAATCACACAGTGAAGATCCTTGCACTACGGCGGCAGCTGCTGCCAAAGCCGTGTTTCTAAAAACCTGCTCAAGCACTGCCCAATCAGAAGTTTTGCTGGGCCAAAGCCTGACACAGCCCTGACCACCTTCGACGAACACTTGGCAGGCACTATGGTGTCCCTGCCTTAGAGTGTTGGTTAGGAGTTGTGGATTGTGCGGATGCAGTGCCACCATGGACAGCTACACTCCTGGAAACTCATGATATCCCACAAGGTTTGGAACTGGAGAGTATACACTGGCACTGGACTGTTTTAAGAAGCCAATCTACCTTCCTCTGCTTTATTATCCTGGAGGACTGGATGGGCAGGACCCCTTTTGATGCTAAAATGACCGCATGGAATATCCCACTGAGAGTTAATGCTGAGGAACCCACAGATCAGTCCGAGGACACATCTGCAAAGGGTGCGAACCAAGGTTTAAGGATGTCTATTCACGACCCTGGTATTCCTTGGAGGTCTCCCATCCAAATACTAGCCGGGGCCAACCCTGCTTAGCTTCCAACATCTGACAAGATCAGGCTGGCCTGGGCTATCCAGAACAGGGCTGCTGCATTTATACCAGAAGGGGATAGTTAGGCTGCGCGCAAGCCATAATGCACAGAGGCACTGCCATTAAAAAACACAATTCACATTAAACCAGTACGACCCGAAAGCACAAGGCAGTTATAAACGTGCTTGTTTTAGCTGCCTCATTAAGATTTATGGCAGCTTCGTGCAAAAACTGATTAACAGTCAAAGCACATATTGGCAAATCTCACTGCCTGAATTAAGCTCACTCCTAGTTTTTTCTTGTTGGCTCAAATACATGGAGCTCTGACACCAATAAAGACACACACGTTCACTTAATTGGAGGGGAAAGCCCCACGTAGGAAAGAGAAATGGGTACACCGAGCTTTCCCCTCCAGCAAACTGAATGGGGAACTCTATAAGTACAGGAGCTCCATGTCGACATCTCTACATATAGGTTCTGGGTATCCGAAGAAGAGAGCAGTGACTCATGCAAGCTCATACCATGCCACAGTTTTTATTAGTCTTTAAAGTGCTTAAAGGTGCTTGGGTAAGAAAGAAAGGGGTCTGGGCCAGTGTTCCCTCTAAGCTGAGTTAGTGTGAGCTAGCTCACAGTTTTTTAGCCTCTGGCTCACACATTTTTGTCTTAGCTCAGGAAGGATGGCTCCAGAGCCAACTAATTTAATGCAGCAGCCAAATCACTCACTCACAACTTTAATACCTAGTAGCTCACAAAGAATAATTTTTGCTCAGCTTAGAGGGAGTATTGGTCTGGGCACCAGCTATGTTTAGTGTACAGGCTTTTTACAATCTTGGCCAGAATATACACATGCTGTGTACACACCCCTCCAGAACTCAAGCTTCTGCTTAAACTCCCGGAGTTCAAAAATCAGTCGGGCAATTATGTGCAAAATCTTTTCAATGGGGAAATGCTGCCAGTCTGTGTGTATATGTCATTCGCCCCTGCAAAAAGATCTTACACCTAATCTGCAAAACTTCTGTTTGATGGTATAAAAGTATAATAAAGAGTCATTTGGGCAGGCATTTTACACAAAGGTAGGGGGGGAAATTAGCCCATCTATGCATTTGTTCCAGTAAATCCACAGAAAACGTGTTTGAATAAAAGCTGGAAAAGAAACACGCAATCCAGCTTTTTTCATTGTTAAAAGGCTTCAAAAGATAAAGCTTTCCGGGGTGTGTGTGTGGGGGTTTCCTGTGGCCATCACTACATCCTCTGGCAGCAAATTCCGCATTTTAATCACACTGTGTAAAGTAGTATTTCCTTTTGTCCCTCCTAAGCCTACTGCCCATCAGCTTCATTCGGCGCCCTCGAGTTCTAGCATTCTGGGAGAGGGAGAGAAAATTCTCTTTTTCAGCTCTCTCTACCCCATGCATACCTCTGGGCCCACATGGGAACTATCAATGAGAAAAGAGCAACCCATAATAATCTGTTTTGCTGGGCAAAAGCAGGCTTGCTTAACTTCAAATAATCCAGTCAAAGATAAATGGGTTCAAGAACAGCACTGAAATGGCAATGTCTCCACGTAGGTGTTTTTTTGTGAAGAGATCCCAGACTTGCAGGAAACGTATTCAGGCATCGCACCAAACTATGATCAGACTGAGATCAGTCACATGCATAGTTTGTCGTCCTCATGCATCCCCCTCCCTCTCCGCACAGAGCTCAATTCAAAATGTCCTGCCTCCCATGTTCAAATGCAGGCACCTCGAATGGCTGGATTTGGTCATCCACAAACTGGGATTGTAAACTAGGACGAATCCAAGGTTCAGAATCCCACTTTTGTGAGGTGTGAAGCTAGTTCCAGTTTGCTGAGGAACCTGCATTCAGATGTCATAGCCAGATGGAGCTTGCTTTCGCCAGAAAGTTTTGACTCAAGTTGTTCTTATGAGGGGCAGGAGGGCATGCAGACATGGTTACAAGCTGCATTCC